GAGACCTCCATTCCAAACAACAGCCCTCCATCACCATCCTCTGTCTCTTGCCGTTAAACCAATTTTGTATCTAATTGGCAAGCTCATCCAGAATCCCATGTGATCTAACTTTACTGATTAGTCTACCATATGGAACCTTATCAAATGCTTTACTAAACTCCAAATAAACAAAATTGACAATTCTGCCCTCATCAGGAAGAGGATGAAGGGGTAAAGGGAGAAGGCAGGAGAATGGGGTTGAGAAACATACCAGCCATGATCAAATGGTGGAGTAGGGATGATAGGCTGAATGGCATAATTCTGCACCTATATCCAATGGTCCTTGGTCTAACTGGCAGTTTGTTTTTTAGTGAAAAAGTAATGTATTAGGCTAAAACATACTCAGTTAAACATAAAAAATATAAAAGTATATTTTGGCGGCACAGTGGCTGAGGGTTTTGCACTACTGTCTCATAGCACCAGGGACCCAGGTTTGATTCCACCCTTGGGTGACTGTCTGTGTAGAGTTTGCATGTTCTCCCTGTGTCTGCGTGGGTTTCCTCTGGGTGCTCAGGTTTCCTCCCACAGTCCAAAAATGTGCAGAATAGGTGGCTCAGCCATGCTAAATTGCCAGGAATGTGTAGATCAGGTTGAGTAGTCTTGGGAAATAAAGGGTTACAGGGATAGGATGGAGGGGGTGGGGGTTGGTTATGGGTGGGATGTTATTCAGATAGTTGGTGTGGACTTGATGGACTCAATGGCTTGCTTCCACACTGTACAGCTTCTATGATCTATGATTCTATGATTTATATCCCAATTTCAACAAGCTGTGTGCACACACACTTGAATCATACATGAGAAATGCAGATTACAACATTTTACAGGAGGGTAACTTGAGATAAGTTAAACTTCAGTAAGAAAGAGATGGAAAACTAAGATCTGACTGTCTGTAAGTAAATTGCAATGGAAATGAAATCTTCCTTGAAAGGTTCCCTGTTTGCTTGGAGCAATGTGGACACAGTCAAAGTTAGCAAATAGGATGCTGTCTTAGGTAGAGTTAGAGGGGGAGAGAGAGCGCAGGAATCTCTCTCACAGCTGATGCTGAGATCTCTGACAAAACTTAACCTTGGACAACACAACAGATCAGTCTCGGTCACACTATGACAGCTTGGTCCCACCATTTCTCCCGAACTGCTATCAGAGTTTGACAATCCATTGTAAATTACAAAAAGTGACTTTGATTCTCTCACATCTGCAAAGCAATCTTAAGAAAATCAGATTCCAAAGTTAACCCAATACCCATTAGATTTTATTGGACAGGTCTTCCTTTGGGAAGGTCGAGAGGAAATTTATTCGAGATCTTTAAAATTACAAGGGGTCTGGACAGAATATTTTGGGAGGAACAGTTCCCACTGGTGAACGGATTGAAAACCAGAGGACACCAACTTTCGTGGTTGGCAAAGGAGCTAGAGGGAAACGAGGACAAACTTTAGCACACACACTGAGTGATTGGCTGGCCTTGCTTGGGAGACTAGTGGAAGCTGATTCAACCAAGGCTTTCATCATTACTGGAACTGAGGTTGAGGGGGTGGAGAACGCCAAGTTACTTGCAGTGACGATAAATGACAACCTGATCTGGACTGCCCGTGTAGATGTGACAGTCAAGAAGGCACAACGGCACCTCTTCTTCTTCAGGTGGCTCAGGAAATTTGGCATGTCAATAAGGAACATCACCAACTTCTACAGATGCACCATTGAAAGCATACCGTCCGGATGCATAACGGCCTGGTATGGCAACTGCTCTGCCCAGCACCGTAAGAAACTACAGAAGGTGGTGTGCGCAGTCCAGACCATCACGGAAGCCAAGCTTCTATCCATGGACTCCATTTACACAGCTCACTGCACGGAAAGGTGGCCAACATTATCAAAGACTCATCACAGCCTGGTAATGACCTCTTACAACTTCTTCCATCAGGCAGAAGATACAGAAGCCTGAACATACGCACCAGCAGGTTCAGGAACAGCTTCTTCCCAGCCGCTATTAGACTGATGAATGGACTCTGTAACCTCAAATAATGATTGATCTTGCCAACGTTGATCTTGCCTAGCGCACGCCTTGTGCTATGTAACCTGCATGTTTCTGTCTAAGTCATTTTGATCTGTCCAACCTTGCTTACTATGACCTGCCTTGACCGCTCATAAACAAAGCTTTTCACTGTACTTCAGTACACGTCACAATAATTCAATCAATCAATCATCATCAAACAGGAAATATTTGCAGGACTATGACCTAATCACAAAAGTGTCCCACTCGGTGAATTCCTCTTGCAGTGAGCCAGTATAGACATTATGGGCTGAGTGTCCTTCTGTGTTGTAACCATTCTGTAATTCTCTGGACAGCTGCATTAACAAATAAGCATGTGTTGTATTAAGGAGATACAAATTAGACACCTGAGTTTTGAAGAAATCTAGAGGCTGTAGTAAATATGTCAGCGTCAGCAAATACCTTCAGCTCCATTTCACAATGACTTGGGTGAACTCCAGTACATGCCCCTTTAATACATGAGCTTACATAGGGAAACTGTTAATAGTAGAGAGAGCCCTTAAACCTCTGCTACACATTTCACTGTGTTCATTCTGCAGCCCGGGCGCTATCTGACCAAGTTCAGAAGTCGACAAACTTTTGTAATCTTTTGTTGGACCTTAAACATTCGACTATTCATTTGCTCTGACTTGTTTATGTCAGTAAATTGAATATTTTATTAAAAGTTCCAAAGCGTAATTTTGTTTTTGGAACAGTACTTTAGTTTGTGAACAATACTGACCTCATATGTGTGATTGAAATGATAAATTAGTTAACAGTTTGGTTGAAAACTGAATATTTAGAATGATATTTGTGCAACTAATGACCCGATCCCATTAACTATTAACTGGGGTGATCACTCACAGAGCCAGTGATATTGATTCCAGTGTATGCCAAGCTGAAAGGAGACAAATAATTTTGCTGTATCAGCTGAGGGGTTACAGAATGTGGCCATTTGGCCCAACAAGCACAACCTGTCAGTATCTGGGATCATGGTTGGACTGTTTCTCAGTGCCGTTACCTGCATTTGCTGCATACTTATTGCTGCCCATTGCAAATGAGAATCTATTGATGTTACTCTTAAACATTTCAATTAACCCCCAGTGATCACCGCCTTCTGGGGCAAAAGAATTTCCGATTTCCACCACTCTCTGTGGCGTTTCCTAACTTACCTTTACATATTACAATGTGTCCTAAAATGCTTCATAAGAATGTTACTAAACACAATTTAAAACCCACAGATTAGACAAAGAGATCTTCTTACAGGAGACCAAGGTCAGGTTTTACTCCTCATTTGTGGGATGCTGACATCATTGGTGAGACCAGCATTTATTGCCCATCCCCAGTTGCTCCCCTGAGAAGGCGGTGGCCAGCTGTTTCCTTGAACCACTGGAGGCCTTGGATTGTAGGGACTGCAGGGGTTCAGAAGGGGTTTCAGGATTTTGACCCAGAGACAGTGAAGGAATGGCAATATATTTCCAAGTCAGGATGGAGAGTGGTTTGGAGGGAACTTGCAGGGGCTGGTGTTCCCCTGTGTCTACTACCCTTCCCCTTAGGTAGAGGATGTATATTTGTAAGGAGCTTTGGTTAATTACTGCTGTGCATCTTGTTAATAGGACACACTGCTGCTACTGAGGATCGGTGGTGGAGGGAGTGGATGCTTGTGGATGTGGTGCCAATCAAGCGGCTGCTTTGTCCTGGATGGTGTCAAGCTTCTTGAGTGTTGTTGGGGCCACACCCATCCAGGCAAGTGGGGAGTATTCCATCACACTCCTCACTTGTACCTTGTAGATGGTGGACAGGCTTTGGGGAATCAGGAGATGAGTTACTCACGACATAATTCCCATCCTCTGACCTGCTGTTGTAGTCACAATGTTTATGTGGCTTGTCCAGTTCCGTTTCTGGGCAATGGTAAGCCTCAGGATGTTGATAGTGAGGGATTCAGCCATGGTAATGCCACTGAAAGTTTAGGCATTCCAAAGAAGTGGGAGTAATGGTGATAGAGAAATAATGTCACTGAGCCAGAGGCTCATGCTGTGGGAACAGGGGTTCAATTCCTGCCTTAGCAGTGGGGGGGAGACAATGTAAATTAATAAATTTGGGATATGAAGCTAGATGGTGGAGATGAAGATTGTCATCAATGATTGTAAAAACTCATCTGATAATGCCCTTTTGGAAAGGAAATCTGCTGTCCATACCCAGTCTGGCCTAAATGCGACGCTGGGCAGGCAACAATGTGTACTGAGTGGCTAGGAAGCCACAGCTCATAGGCCCAGTGAGCCACTAAGTCATATAATGCTAAAGTGGCCCTTCATCCCATCAAGTCGGTGCCTTTTCCCCTAGTCTGGAATGTTATGACATTTCAAGTGCTCATCCATGTAACCCTTTAATGGTTCTGAGGCTTCCCACCTCTACTACCCTCTCAGATACTGCGTTCCAGATTCCCACCACCCTCCGTGTGAAAAAAAATTCCTCAAATCCCCTCTAAACTTCCTGCCCTTAAAATCATGCCCCTCTTCTTATCCCAGTGATGAACAGTTCGGTCCTCATCCGGAGGCTCTAAGCTTGTTTCAGTCTCAGTGAAATTTTACCTATTTACATTTGTTCAGCATCAAAACAATGTTCCAAAAATACTTGCGGGGTTTTTCCACATTGTCCATATGTTTATCTTTCATAACGAGCGGGAAATGTAATAAGAGCAACAACGCACTTTTTCCAAACCCAGTGCAATGAATATAATTCAATGAATTGGTCAGTTTTAGAGGAAAGTTTTCCCTTTCAGTACAAGGTACCATTGGAGTTATTTATGCCAGACTTCACGAGTGAACGATTAACCTGTACAACAGTCTGTTGCAATAAGTGGATCGGACTGGGGAGGGGTCCACGGCAGGTCAATATTCAGCAGCCAACTCTATCTTACTTTCAGTTGAGCCACTGAACCACTCGGAGGCAACCAAATGCCTCTCAGTCGTCTCAAACAGGTCTAAGATCCAAAGTTAAATACAGATTGCCATTTGCGAAGAATTTGCCGCAGAGCTCAAAGAATGTGGCAAGTTCTGCTCTTGCTCGCTGCCCTTGCAGGTAGGCTGCCGAGTGGGTGTCGTTGGCGTCTTTGACTTTTCTCCTCCCTTTTCCCTTCTCTTTGGCCCTCGCGGAGGCACGTGAGTCTTAATGGGACAATGGGTCAATGTTGGTCCTCACCAAAGGTGGGCGTGGGCCTAGAGAGCGATGGGAGACAGAGGGGAGCGTGACTCTGTCTGTCTTTACCTGGTCTTGTCTCCACACCCTTACCTCTCCTCACGACAGCTGGGCTCACCGAACGGGGAGCAGAGACGGAGTTTGGGGAGGAGTGGGGTGGGGAGCAGAGAGCTTCCAGTTTCTGGGTGTGGTTCAGGGTTAGACTCTCGATTCTAAGTCCTCGCTCAAGCACAGAGTAAACACTGATTTGTCATACTTTGCAGCTTTTGAAAGAGAATTGGACAATTAACGAAACAGAAAATAAAATTGCAGTATTTCGGGGTAAGGTGGAGGGGAATGGTGGGGAAATGGGCCAAATTAAATTCCTGTTGCGGAAGGCCCATGTGGAAAAGTTGGGCCAAATAGCCACGTTCAGTGCTGTAAGCATTCTGCAGTCCCATTCCACATCTTCCAATTTGTTCTCCAAAACCAGATGCAGCAGACCCCAGGTTCCATACTCTGTAGAATACTCTCCTGAACACACTTCAGGAACCCATGGCCCTTTCTGCTGGTACTATCGCAGCCTTGATTCAGATAGTTCAAGTCCCTCGGTCCTGCTGCTTATTCTGTCACTCTGATTTTCATTTTCTTTCAGATTTGTCCCTCTATACCTTTCCCATTTTCCCCTGAAAGCAGGATAAGGGCAGAGCCTAGGGAGCTGGGGAAGATATCAGCAAAACCGGACTTCAAACAGAATAACCCATAGGGCATCCCCAAGGTGCCAGTGGATGCAGAAATTGGAGATTGGAGCAACTCAGAGCACAGCTGGAGGGTTGGTGCAGGAGGGAGGTTTTCAGATTCATTGACTGTTGGGGTGAGCTCAGGCCTGACAGTTTGCTTCTGAGAAAAACAGCATTGAGATCCTTGTGAGGCAGCTTGCATATCGGGTAGAGGTTAAACAAACATGGCAGAGTTGGGCGAACTAGGAAGTAATACTGGAGATGAAAGCTACACAGGGATTTGGCAAAGACAGGTAACATTAAAGGAGGAAATGATCATAAACAGGATTGAGGTCACAGTAAATGGGAGTGGAATAAACCAAATTCAGTTTACTGTGCATGAATAGTGTGTGATAAATATGATTCCCAGGTTACTGGGACAGTTAATCCCATTGAAATCTGATGATGGGACAACAGTGGAGACCTGAATCTGGGAAGGGCAGGACTGGGTGTTGAACATTCCTGGACACAAGCTTTTCTAAGAAAAATGGGAACGAATGAAAGCAGAAAGGGAGGCAAATCTGAACATGACAGTGTTGGACAGAAGCATCAAGGACAGAATATGTTTGGTTAGAGCTAGGGGATGACAGCAGAATATTTACATTGTGTGGTGTATTCTACAGGTAACTAGCAATGGGAAAGGTATGGAGGGACAAATCTGCAAGGAAATGACAGAATTTTAGAGCAGATGAAATGGAACTATCCAAATGTAGACTGGGATAGTACCAGCATGAAGAGCAGACAGAGCCATGTGTTCCTGAAATATGTTCAGGAGAATTTTTTACAGAATAGGGTTTCAGTCCAGTGTGGATAGAAGCCCACTGCTATCAAGTACTTGGAGAAATCTGATATAAATGCAACACCTTCTTAATTCTATAACCCGCCGCATTAAAACAAACAATTCAGCATTTCTTTGGTGCCTTTGCCAATGACTTTAAGTCTGGTTGATGGTGAGCTGCCTCTTGAATGTGGGCTTTTTCCTTGCAGGCCCTTTGACAGCTGATGACACTCTCTATATCTCGCCCATATCTCTGAGTCGCTGGGAAAATGAAACGGTGACGTTGAATTGTTTCACCTCCAGGACTGTGGATAATTATTACCTCATCTGGGGATCCGCCAAGCCGGGAGATCTCATGATCTCGTGGATTCTTTACTGGATGCCGGGATCGAGCGCTGCTCTTTACCCGTCCGTGGTAAGCGATCGCTTCATTGGCTCAAAGGACTGGACCAGCAAGAAGTTCTCACTGACAATAAAAGGTCTCCGACAAGAAGATTCAGCCAGATATTACTGTGGCAGCTCCAACACTTACTTCCCATTCAGCACAGACTGGAGCGGATGTGGAGTCACGCTCACTGTTAAAGCAGGTAGGTCATTTTTGACGCTGTCTCTTCTTATGCCTTGCTGTCTGACAGAACTTCATCACGTGATTCACTGGGACAGCGTCAAGGTGGGAGTGGAAGGTGGCACTGCCTGGTCAAGGGTGCCAGCCTTCAAACGTTTGTGAGTTGAACCTTGCTATCCTGTTGCTGCAGACTTGTCCTTGGGCCCCATTCTACCTGTGAATGGGATTGTCTTGGTCTCCTGACCAACATTAAAATTCAATCAAGTCATACCGCAAAGAAACAGACCCTTCGGTCCAACCAGTCCATGCTGACCATAATTCCAAACAAAACTAGTCCCACCTCCCTGCTCCTGGCCCATATCCTTCCAAACCTTTCCTGTTCATATCCTTATCCAAAGGTCTTTCAAATGTTGTAATTGTACCCACATCCACCACTTCCTCAGGAAGTTCATTCCACATGCAAACCACCTTCAGTGTAAAAAAATTTGCTCTTCATGTCTTTTTTTAAATCTGTCTCCTTTTACCTTAAAAATTTGCCCCCTTGTCTTGAAATCCCCCATCCTAGGGAAAGGATTCTATGTAAAAGACCACTAATTCCATGTATACTTCTCATTATTTTATAAACTTCTATAAGGTCGCCTGTCAACCTCCTATGCTCCAGTGAAAAAAGTTGCAGCCTGTTCATCCTTTCTTTCTAACTCAAACGTCCCATACCCTGAAACGTCCTGGTAAATGTCTTCTGAACCCTCTCCAGCTTAATAATATCTTTCCTATAACTGGGCGACCAGAACTGGACAGTTTTCCGGAAGAGGTCTCACCAATGTCCTGTATAACTTTAACATGACTTCCCAACTGCTTTGCTCAAAGGACTGAGAAATGAAGGCAAGCGTGCTAAATGTCTTTTTACACCAAGCTGCATTCAGAGGTTGATCATTGCTTACTCCACACCCCTCTGACAGAGCACATTTTCACTTCCCGTTTGGCTACAAAACAGACCCTGGGCCAGGGAATACTGAATTGGCTCTGCATTTAATTGCAACATCCTGTACAAACACCACACCTCCTCCTGCTGCCCTGAATGCCTGTACCCGGCGACCTTTCAGAGTGTGGCACAGGAGTGTTTCAGCGTGGCTTGTGTGAACATCTCTCAGCAGGCGCACTTTAAACTCTCAACCTCCCTACGTCAGCCACAGAGCTGTTCCCAAATGAGTCCCAGTGCTTCCCACCTTATTGCAATGGTATATTAGCTAATTACCCAACAAATATACAAGCACTTTGATCCTGCTCCACCATTCACTAAGACAGTGGCTGATCAGATTTTGACCTTAGCTGTACTTTCCCACCTATCCCTGATAATCATTCAATCTGTCAGTATCAAATAAGTATCTCTCTACCTCTGCTTTATAAACATTTAAAGGTTCTGCATCCACTGCCTTTTGTGGAAGGAAACGCCACCGACTCATAACCCTCTGAGAGAAAAACTCTTTCCTCTCTCTGTTTTAAACAGGTGGCCCCTTATTTTTAAACTTTGACCCTGAGTTCTAGATCCTTTCACAAGAGGAAACATCCTTTCCACATCCCCCTGGTTAAGTCCGCTCCGGATCTTATATGTTTCGACTAAGTCACACCTGACTCTTCTAAACTCCTGAGGATACAGGCCGAGCCTGTCCAGCCTTTTCCCATGAGGCAATCTGCTCAATCTGAGTGGGGTTTCTGACCAGTGAGAAGGCCCAGGAGTGGAGTGGAGTGGCGAAAAGCCAACTCCTGTTCCTATTTAAACAGGCCGGATATTCCCATCTCATCTGTCCTTTTTCACTAACCCACCATCAAATAATTTTCAAGATGGGTCACTGGGCAATCATCAAGACCAGAATCACAGGCTAACCTCTGCCTTCTGATTGTCTGGGTCCTTTGAGTCTCTGTATCAATTAGAAACACAGGACATGGGAGCGGAATCAGGCCATTTGGCCCAATCGGGTCTTATAGACTCATCAGTACAATAATGGCCGATCTGGTTGTTGAAAGAACTTCGAATTCCTGGCCTCATTTCCCCCAATAATCATTGCCTCCCTAATCTGTCACTCTTACAGTCACTCAACCTTGAAACTGTTCAAGTGCTCAGTCTCCACTCTTCTCTGGGGAAGAGTGTTCCACAGAATTAGCATCAGCTGACAGAGGAAATTCTCCTCAGCTCCATCTGAAATAGGAGACCCCTTTATTCCTAAACTGTCTCCCAGGTTCTGGTCTCCCCCAGCCCTATTCCTCAGGGTAGACACCTCTTCCAGTCACCCCCGAGTCTTCAATAAGTTCGCCTCTCGTTCTTCTAAATCCCAATGTTACGGACACAGTCTGCCCCAACCTTTCCTCATTGTCTAACCTCCGTCATCCCAGGAATGAATGGAGAGTGCCCACTCTGAATCTGTGTCTCACACTCTTACATCCTTCTAGCTGAGGTCGGGTGACTGCACTCCCATCCCGGGAGGTCCACTGTGCCACACCAATCTGCACCTTGGCTCCTGAGGTCCACCAGGATAATATCTTGCCACCTTTGAACATGACAGAGGAGCTTGAGCCAGGCGCAGTGAATCTTGGCAATGTCAGTGTCAGGCCGTAATTAACTTGTTGGCCACTTAGTAACAGATTCATTTCCATTTCAGCTCCCTCAGCGTCTCCTCCGTTGGTTTATTTCCAAAACCCACACCCTGAGGATGTCTTTCTCCAGAAGAACATCTCGCTGCTCTGTGCAGCAGAAAGCTTTTACCCGGACGACCTCTCATTTTCCTGGCGTGTTGATGGCGAGCAGGTCCACAGAGGGGTCTCGCATTCTGCCTCACTTTTGGGAGACAACGGCACCTACACAGCAATCAGTAAGCTGGTGATCGATACATCCCAGTGGATCAAAGGATCTATTATCAGCTGCCAAGTATCACATGGGGCACTGCCTTCACCCATCATCAAGTACATAAGTAACACTGGTAAGTCACACACTGTGTGGTTTTTACTGATTCTGGCAAAGCTATTTCTCACCAGATTCACCTGCTCATTCCAATTTCATTGAATTCAAACAACCCATTCCAAATGGCACCAGTGCCCACACTTCACCCCTACGCATCCTCTCCCCAAAATGATTTCCAACAACACAGAGCTTCTTGCCAGTTTTCCTCATCTCATACCTGGATATCAGGACAATGCAAACGATGACACAGCCTATTAACAGCCACTCGATTGGCCATCCACATTCCCATCCACTCCCTCCACCACAAACGCTCAGTAGCAGCAGTGTGTACCATCTACAAGATGCACTCAAGCAACTCATCAAGGGTCCTTAGACAGCACCTTACAAATCCACGACCACTTCCATCATGAGGCAGCAGATCCATGGGAACACCACACCCTGCAAATTCCCCTCCAAGTCACTCACATAGAACTACAAAATGTTGGAGCAGGAGCAGGCCGTTTCAGCCCTTTAAGCCCACCGTGCCATTTAATATGATCATGCCTGATCATCCAACTCAATACCCTGTTCCTGCTATCTTCCCATTCCCTTTGATCCCTTTAGCCACAAACTTTCTTGAGAACATGCAGTTTTTTTTTGCCTCAACCGCTTCCTGTGACAGAGAATTCCACAGGCTCCCCACTGTCTGGGTGAAGATATTTCTCCTTATCTCAATCCGAAATGGTTTACCCATATTTAGCCCATATGAGCAGCAAGGTGGCTCAGCGGTTAGCACTGCTGCCTCACAGCACCGGGGCCTGGGTTCAATTCCACCCTCGGGCAACTGTCTGCGTGGGTTTCCTCCAGGTGTTCCAGTTTCCTCCCACAGTCCAAAGATGTGCAGCTTAGAGGGATTGGCCAATCTAAATTGCCCATAGTGTTCAGGGATGTGTAGATTAGGTGGGTTATACGGGGATGGGTCTAGATGGGATGGTATGTGGGTCAGTGTGGATTTGTTGGGCCAAAGGGGCTGTTTCCACACTGTAGGGATTCCATGAAAAAAAAATGAAATATTTTTAAATTGTGACCCCTGGCTCTGGACTCCTGGACATCAGGGACATTCTTCTGTGTTTACCCTGCCTAGTCCTGGTGGAATTTCATAACTTTCAATGAGATAACGCCTCACCCTTCTAAACTCCAGTGAATAAATGGTCTCTCTTAATAATCAGTGCTGGAATCAGACTTGAAAATATGTCGCCATTGCTTCAGTGTCACTGGGTTAAAATCTTAAAACTCCCTTCCAAACAGCATTGTGAGTGTTCCTATATCCCAAGGACTGTAACAGTTCAAGAAGGCAGCTCATCAGTCTCTCCACCTTCTTCAGGGCAATGGCCACATAGAAACATAGAAGATAGGAACAGGAGGAGGCCATTTGGCCCTTGAGCCTGCTTCGCCATTCTTCACAATCATGGCTGATCGTCCAACTCAATAGCCTAATCCTGCTTTCTCCCCATAACCTTTGATCCCATTCCCCCCAAGTGCTAAATCTAGTCACCTCTTGAATACATTCAACGTTTTGGCATCAACTACTTCTTGTGGTAATAAATTCCATAGGCTCACCACTCTTTGGGTGAAGAAACGTCTCCTCATCTCTGTCCTAAATAGTCTACCCCGAATCCTCAGACTGTGACCCCTGGTTCTGAACACACCCACCATCTGGAACATCCTCCCTGTATCTACCCTGTTAGAATTTTATAAGTCCCTGTGAGATTCCCCCTCATGCGTCTTCATGAATGCATTCAGAAAGTACTTTCCTTGCAAAGAGGGCAATCTAGTTGCTTTGTGAGGAAGGTGAATGGGTCTCAAGCACTGGAATCATTCCAGGAACAACTTGACATCATCAGGGGAAAATAGTCAGATGGATACAGTATTCTTAAAAGACACCTAAATAGTTACAACTGGCTCCAGGAGTTAGCTAGAGGGGTGAATCATTTAAACGCTCAACCATACTTTTGAGATTTTCTAATCAACCAGTCCAGAAATGTTATGACACACCCCTGGAGCAGGTAGGACTTGAACTTGGGTCTCCTATCTCAGAGGTAGGGACACTACCGCTGCACCACACAGACAGTACAATATCAGAGGATCAAGTGATATAAGATGGCCATTGCTGCATGTCCATCATTTCAGTGGTAATGGTAGCCTCATGGCCACTGGATCTCAGTGTGAATCTCCCAGTATGGCCTTTCTTGCCAGGATACCTTGTTGATTTGCCACTTTACTCTGAGACATACTCAGTTGTGATTGTTACACAGAGCGGTACCCCATGGAGCCAAAGCTGTATCTCCTGTCACCGACTTTAGAAGAGCTCGTCACAATGGAAAAAGCAACCCTGGTCTGCCTAGCAACTGGCTTCTACCCAGCGGAGATCTCTTTCCATTGGTTCATCAATGGCAATCCGGTGGTTAACAGCATCAAGACCTACCCACCAATTCTCAATATCAATGGCACCTACTCCTCCCAGAGTGAACTGACCACGTCTGATCAAATGTGGAACCGGGGTACAGAATACACGTGTGAGATTCAGCACATGTCAGTCCCAGACAGTATCATTCAAACCATCAATAAAACCCGGGGTAAGGCAGTACTATTTCAGGGTTTCTCTTTTTACCCCCTCGCTGTTCCATTGCAAACTAACCAGGTGTTCTTCCACAATTAGGCCATTCGATCGATACATCTCTGACTTGATAAGGAATACATCGGCAGGGATATCAGATTAGGTGGGGAATGGATGGATAACAAGTGATCAGTGCACGGAAATACTGGGAGAGGAGAACAGATGTAGATATCGGAGAAATAGACAACAGGCGGTAAATATACAGATATCAGGATAGTGGAGAACAGGCAGTATATGTACAGGGTATCAGGATAATGGAGAACAGGCAGTAAATATACAGGTGTCAGGATAATAGAGAACAGGCAGGAAATATACAAGTATCGGTGTAATGGAGAGCACATGATAAATGTACAGGTATCAGGATAAAAGAGAACAGGCATTATATGTACAGGTATTGGGGTAATAAAGAGCAGCCAGTAAATGGACAAGTATCAGGGGTGTTGGCGAATAACAGGTAATAAGTTTACAGATATCAGGATAGAACTTGGAGTAAACATACAAGTATCAGGGTAATGGAGAACAGGCGGTAAATGTATGGGTTTGTTGGCTGGAGAACAGGTTGTAAACGTACAGTTATCAGAGAAATTGTGAGCTGAGCAAGTCTAAGTTACCAAATACATAAACCATCAATTGTTGTAAATGGTGCTAAATCGCTGCTGGTACAACTGCTTTTGTTCTAACAATCAGATTGAATTGCATCTCAGACAACTGATAAAAAAAAACCTAGATTTGTGCATTGACCACCAGTTATATACCCCTCTCATATTCAGGCATTAACTGCCTGTTATACACTCCCTTGCATATTCAGCACTGACCACCTGTACCACATCCCGTCTCATATTCAGGCAGTGACTGCCTGTTGCACATCTGCTCTCATTTTCAGGCACTGACCGCCTGTTACACATCTCATCTCATATTCAGGCATTAACCATCTGTTACACATTCCCTCTCATATTCAGGCACTGGCCACCTGTTACACATCCTGTCTAATATTCAGGCACTGATTGCCTGTTACATATCCCCTTTCATATTCAGGCACTGACTGCCTGATACACATCCCATCTCATAATCAGGCACTGACCGCCTGTTACACATCTCATCTCATCTCATATTCAGGCATTAACCACCTGTTACACATTCCCTCTCATATTCAGCACTGACCGCCTGATGCATATCCCCTCTCATTCAGGCACTGACTGCCTGTTACACATCCCTTCTCACGTTCAGGCACTGATCGCCTATTACGCACCTTGTCTCATTTTCGGGCATTGACTGCCTGTTGCACATCTGCTCTCATGTTCAGGCATTGACTGCCTGTTACATGTTCTGCTTGATATTTGTGCACTAACCTCCTCTAACTGTGAGTGGAATTCGGTAACAGGTCAAGTCGATGTCAGGCAGCCAACGTGATCCTGCTTTGTCGACTCAATGAGGTAAACATGTCTCTGGCTGATTTTGTTTTTGTGAACACAACAAGGTCCAGTGAGTCAATAAAAATGCTCAGGTAGAGTTAACAGTGGCGTTGACCTTAAGGGAAAATGTCTGTTGATTGAAATGTTTTATCTCTGCCTGTAACAGAATTTATTTTCCTCCAACCGACGATAACCCCCATCAAGGTTCAGTCACGTGACTCCCATCGGCCACAAGCTGTGACTTTGGCGTGTTTTGTTTCGGGGTTCTATCCCGCCGGGATCTATGTGAACTGGAGAACGGAGAGGGATTTGCAAGTTCCGGGCAGTGTGACCAACTTCCCAGTGGTGAGGGACGTGAGTGGGACCTACAGTACAGTCAGTCAGATGACCATTGCCTTTGTGGATGTGGACCCCGCTCAGACGTATATGTGTGAGGTCAGACACGAGTCTCTCACCAACCCTTTAAGGGAACGGTTTCAGATAAGGTAAACGCCTCAATGTGCTGGGACGTGTAAACTGTGTCGAGCTGGCCTTGGCTCAGTATTTCACACTTCAATGGGAAGGCAGGTTAGCTGTGCCCTGTGTGAGTGGTAATGAAGAGGGCTGCAGCATCACTAATCCCTTCACACACTCCTCAACCTCACCCTCACTGAACCCCTCACACACACTCCTCAACCTCACCCTCACTAAACCCCTCACACACACTCCTCAACTTCACCCTCACTAACCCCGTCACACAATCCTCAACCTCACCCTCACTAAACCCCTCACACACACTCCTCAATCTCATCCTCACTACTTCCCTCACACACACTCCTTCCCTCACACACACTCCTTAATCTCACCCTCACTAATCCCCCCAAACTCTCTCCTCAACCTCACCCTCACTAACCCCTTCACACAGTCCTCAACCTCACCCTCACTAACCCTCCCAAACTCAGTCCTCAAACCTCATCCTCACTAACCCCTCCAAACTCACTCCTCAACCCCAACCTCACTACTCTCCTCACACACACTCCTCAACCTCATCCTCACTACTTCCCTCACACACACTCCTTCCCTCACACACACTCCTTAACCTCACCTTCACTAACCCCCCCAAACTCACTCCTCAACCTCATCCTCACTCCACCCTCATATGCTCCTCAATCTTACCCTCACTACTCCCTTCACACACTCCTCAACCTCACCCTCACTAACCCCCCAAACTCATTCCTCAACCTCACCCTCACTGCTCCCCTCACACATTCCTCAACCTCACCCTCACTCTTCCCCCCCACTCACTCCTCAACCTCATCCTCCCTACCGCCCTCATATTCTCCATAACCTCACACTCACTAAACTCCTCACACTCCTGAACCTCACCCTCACTACCACCCTCACATATACTCCTCAACCTCATTGTCCCTACCACCCTCATACACTCCATAACCTCACCCTCACTAAACCCTTCACACTCCTTAACATCATCCTCACTAACCCCTCACACATTGCTCAACCTCACCCTCACTAGCCCCCTCACACGCACTCCTTAACCTCACTACTGCTCTCACATACTCCATAACCTCACAGTCACTAACCTCCTCACACTCCTTAACCTCATCATCACTACCCCCTCACATATTCCTCAACCTCACCGTCACTAAACACCCCTCACACTCACTCTTCAACCCCACCGTCACTATCCCCTCACACACTCCTCAACCTTGCCTTCACTAACCTCTCACACACTCGTCACCCTCAAACATTCATACCCCCTCATACTCAATCCACCCCCTCATCCTCACTCTCCCTCACCTTCACATCCCCTCTCACACTCATAGTCATACACTCCCCAACCTCACACTCTCACTTCTATAACCCTGACTCCCCTTCTCATACTCACTCCCTGTCTCACCATCACTCTCTCCCTCATTCTCACTACCCCTCTCACCCTCACTCCACCACCATCCTGACTTGGAAATATATCATTGTTCCTTCACTGTCGCTGGATGCAAATCCCGGAATTCCCTCCCTCAGGGAATTGTGGGTCAACCTACAGCACGCAGACTGCAGCGGTTCAAGAAGGCAGCTCATCCCCACCTACTCAAGGGGCAACTAGGGATGGGCAAAAATGCTGATCTAACAAGGAACACTCACATTCCATGAATAAATCAAAAAACTCTCTCAAAACTTATTCCTGACTCCTCTTTCCCTGTTTTTCCTCCCTAGTGTAGGAGGAAATTCCCTCATTCTCCAGTCTCCTCTCTGAACTGAAGTCCCTCACCTTTGTTCTGTAAAGCAGTCACTGCACCTGAAATATTAACTCTGTTTCTCTCTGCTCAGAGGCTGCCAGACCTGCTGAGTTTCTCCATCTATTTCTGTTTTTGTTCCTTCACCTCTGTGGCTGTTCTGGTAAAATAAATCTCCTCCCCAACACCTTGACATCTTTGATAAAGTTTGCTGCCCAGAATTCGACAGGAACGTCCAGATATCAACTAATCAATGATTTATAAAGTTTTGATGCTGATTTCCTGATTTGTACTGTCTGATGCAGGGAGGGAGGGAAATCCAAAACAATAGCATTTGGCTTGGGCGCTGAGCCTTTCAGAGAGTGGAGTGTTGGGAATGTGATAATTACAAACGAGAATGGCTGCCTTATGTCAATCCACAATTTTAAAACTTTCTCTAGCCATCGGATCACCCAGATTCTCAGAAAGTGAATTGGAAGTGAGGACTCTCGGATCCAAAATTGCTGTTTCCCCCAAAATTTCCACGATATGGACAGGAACATGGATAGGAAAGGTTTAGAGAGATCTGGGCCTGTTGCTGTGCTGTAAGACGCTATTGGACAACCATCCCAAAACCCAAATCTCCCCAACAAGTTGCCCTTCTCAGAACCATTACCACCAACCTTCCAACAGTCGGCCCTCTCAATTCTCTGACTGTAGCTGCCCTCCAACAGGCTGAAAATAGCTACATAAATGAACACTTTTGTATTGTGATGCGTTTATACCTGTACTGGAAACAACTCGCGTTCTTTCACCCGGCCTCATTCTCTGCAAACTAAACGCATACATTCAAGCACCTTTTCTGAATTACTGAGAACACAGGGACCAAACTGTTCTCCATGGCAACACCTCAGCCAATCAGAGTTGGCTTGCTAGCCAAGCAGGCCCTGTTCCCACCCCGCGCCCCCCTCCCCCCAAATGGCTATGAAATTTGCCATTCTTGCATGCGTCCTGATAAACACACGATGGAAAACAGCAGCAATGTGTCTGCCTTTGCAGCAGGATTGGGAAAAATAAATATCAGCAAGGCCCCAGCGTTGAACACGACAGGGTCTGAGAGGGGAAAGTTTCTGCAGGTTTAAATTAAATCACTGCCCCTCCCTTCTGCCTGTGTTTTTAAAGCTGACAAATCCTACTGGCTTTTGTCAAAAAATACTTTACGGACACTTTCTCTGTCCTGTGGTGGTAGGTGAGGTGATAAGAAAGGGGCAATATATGGACATGTTTGCCCTGGAAAGATGTCATCTCACCACCCCCCGCCCCAACATTCTTCCTGTCCCCTCTGAATCTAAATCCTGTGACAGAAGATCAAAGGGTAACAGTCTCAGCCCAATAGTAACTAAGCCCCCTAAGTGGTCAATTAGTGACTAATTAATGGCCTCAGCTTGGCTCCCCTCTTCATTAGAAATTGTGCTCCGTTAACGTGCCGGTTATGAACCTGCTGTTGAACCAATGTTTCTCTTTCAGTTGACATTCCTGCCAAGGACTGATCCAATCATCGGAAATCTTCATATGTCTACACCAACGAAACACTGGAGTGACATTCCCAGTCGGACATAGACGGAGCTATTCCATTCTTACCCACTCACGGTGATTTGAAACTATTAATAATAAAAAGAGTATTTTCCCCTTTAACTGAATGTTAAACAAAACAGACAATTTTAGGTAATGAATAACTGATCTCTAAGGATTGTGAATTCATCTTAGAGATGTTGCAAGCATTAAATAAAAAAAAATGACCTTGGCTTAATTATTTGTTCGAAGTAATATAGTTGCTTTAAGGGGTGAGTATGCTGAAGGGCCAGGGACCAGAATGCGACCTTTCTGCCAGCAGTTAGGAGGAGCCTGGGTTGCAGTGAGCGTGTGGAAGAGTATGATGCTCTGGTCCTCTCTACCTACAAGGACTGAACTATCCAGCTGGCGAACAAACCTATCTTCGAGTTTTACAAAAGCTGGACCCACCGCATTAATTTGTCGTGTATAAGAGAGGTAATTCTGTTGTGGGAAGACATCACAAAAAACATATAGGGGGGTTGGGAACAGCTCCGTATAAATGCGAGACTTTCTTTCAGGGATAATCAGTGATTTTTGAGGAAGATTTGTGTTAGTGTAATTCCTATCCTTTGCTCCCAGGTGGCGCTGTCGCACATTGTAAGCCCTGTCACTTTAAATGACGATTGAATCACAGAACAACAACCTCTTGTATTCATCTAGCGCCTTGGACATCGTAAACAAAATGCACCAAGGCATTTTACAAAAGCGTTATCAAATAGACTATTATTCTGAGTAACAAAAGCTTGGTCAATCGGGGGTTTCAAGGGAGATTTTTCAAGGAGAAAGAGATGGAGGGGAGTAGGGAGGGAATTCCGGGGTTTGGGATAGCCTTTGCTTTCTGGTGGGAAGAATGTGGGAATGGGTGAGCCTGAAAGTAGCAGGGGCATGGGTGAGGAGTTCAGGAACAGATGGCAACATGAAAGGATGACAGCACAGGAGGAAGCCATTCGGCCCATTATGTCTGCGCTGGTCGATAAAGTAACAGTCTAATCCCATCATACAACTCCTGATCTGTAGCTCTGTAGATCACAGCACTTAGGTGAGTATCTGAGTATGTTTTTTTTTAAAAATGCACTGAGGTTTTTTTCAGCCTTTCAGACAGTGAGTTCCTGACTCCCACCAATCCTTGGTTGAGAGAAATTCTTAACTTTAGACCAGAAGAAATAAGAACAGGCCATTCTGCCACTCCAGTCTGCTTCGCCAATCAAAAGGAACATGGCTAATCTGATATTCATCACGTCCACTTTCCTGAGCTTTCCCTGAAACCCTTGATTCCCGGACTCGTCAAGAATCTATCGCTCTCAGCCTTAAATATGCACAAGGACTCTCCCCTCACAGCTCCCTGTGGCAAGGAATTCCAAAGACACTCAACCCTCCGAGAGAAGAAATTCCTCTTCATCTCTAGTCTTAAATTGGCCCCTTTTTATTCACTCCCATGCAAGGAAATATCCTCTCAGCATTTACACTGTCAAGCCCGTTAAGAATCTTGTATGTTTCGATCAGATCACCTCTCATTCTTCTTAACTCCAGGGAGAAGAGACCCAACCTGTTTAGCCTTTGCTCATCAGACAATCCCTCCACATTAGGGAGGGACTTCTGTCTAATCCTCCCACCCATCATTTTAAATCTCTGACCCCTGACCTTTCTGCCAAGACGTCCAAGTAGGCACGTCCACTCTACCCATCTTCATTAAAACTTTATCGAGCTCTCAGTAAATTTCCCCTCAGCCTCTCTAATCTCGCTGAGCTGATCTTTCCCCTGGATTAAAGCTCTTTCCATTCCTGTTGATATCCTCATGAATCTCTTCTGTTTCCATCTCACACAAGTGATATCACCTCCTTCCTGTAATGGAACTGGACCTGGCTGCAGTTGTTACTGCTGTAGGCACCTCACTGTTCCAGGTATAACCTTCAGGCTTGTGTTCTCCAAGGCCTCCACCATGAAAGGAAAGGATTCCTTATGATTTCTTGACCATCTCATCCACCCCTCTTTTCTTGACGGTCACCCTGTGCTCCCTCACTTGTACCTCCTCAACTTGTGTTTCCTTACCTTGTGCCCTAGCGGGCAGCACTTGGATGAGAATTATTGGGGCCAAAGCTCAATCCTTGAGGTATTGTGGGTAGTTTAGACTCCTTATGTCAGGAGTTATATCAGTAAGGCAGAGGGAGTGTCACAAAAGTTTTTTTTTAAATTCAATCCCATTGCTGTGGGTCAGATCAAGTAAGGACGGCAGATTCCTTCCCTGAAGGAATCAGATGGGTTTTTCTGATAATTAATTCATTGTCATCATTAGGCTCCAGTTTTATTTTTAAAAATTGAGTTCAAATTCCACCACCAGGAATGAAATCCAGCTTCCTGGAACATTAACAGTGCAGTTACAATACCACTATGTCATCACCTCCCCTTAAGGTTCATCAGGCTTGTCCTCAGGACTCTCCTGTGTAAAGAGTCTGGGCAAATGAATTTTGACAGATGAGAGGTGACTTCATTGACAAAATGTTGAAAGGGGTAGATGGAGGAGATGAGGTGTGATGTTGCCCTGGTTGCACATGAGAACCAGGAGCACAACTGAAAACTAAAGGTGATGATGCCACTTAGGTCAGAGATAATTACTTAGAGGGGAGTGACCCTTTATAATTCTCTGGTGGGCACTGGGAGATCAGTTGCACAACTGAAAACTAAAAGGGATGATGCCATTTAGGTCAGAGATAATTACTTAGAGGGGAGTGACCCTTTAGAATTCTCTGGTGGGCACTGGGAGATCAGTTTATGTTGGAGTATGTTTAAGGTAGAGAATTGATGGATTTACTGATTGCCAGTGGTGGACAGGGTTATGGGAACGGGATGGGTAATAGACATTGAATCAGCCACAATCGTATTGACTGTCAAGGTAGGTTTGATGGGCTGAATGGCCTACTCCTGTACCTCTGTTCCTAACAAGTCAGGAAGAGAAACCTGCATCAGGGACAGCTCCATACCTATTCATCCTGGACACTCACAATGTTTAAGCATCCTCCATGAAGCCGGATCAGTCCTGAAAAGGTAGAACATTTCCAGTTGGAATAGGGAGAGAGAAGGTGGGGAGTGGGGCAAAGAATAGGCAGGCAGAATTGATATGTGGGAGGTTGTAAATCTGCCAAGAATGCATTTTTCCACTCAATTTCTTGCCAGAAAATGGAATGAGTAATATATTTGGATTTTTCTGGCATTGGACATGACTGGGTAAGTTTCAAAAATTCCCCATTATCACTCCACTGTGGGCAACTTCCCATTGCAAAAGTACCACATGCTAAGGATGTTCATGAAGTGGGTGCTCCTGGGAGTACAGCAAATGCAAAAGCTCTGTTCAGGAAAGGTAGCGCAACTTCAGGATGTTGCAAAGCGCTTTTCACAGATGATGGAGTATTTCTGAAGTGCCTCGCGCTTTGGCAATAGGATAAACATGCAGACAAAGCAAGATCCCATAAGCTGATCATGTGTTTTTATGTGCTGTAGCTTGTGTGCTGAATATTTGCCACTCAACAGGGAGAACATCCTTTCTCTTCATCAAAACAGTCCCATGAATCTTCAATGTTCACACGGGGGATCACAGAAAGTCTTGAATTCAACGCATTCTTCCAGTATCCTGGCAAACAGCCAGCAGATGGAGAGCACGTGTATGTGAGTGAGTGTGTGTGAGACAATGTGAGACAGTGTGTGTGAGAGGGAGCGACTGTGCGTGTGTATCTGAGTGTGTCTGTAGGTCAGAGTGTGTATGTGTGAGAGTGTGTGTGAGACAGTGTGTATGTGTGAGAGTGTGTGTGTACGTGTGTATGAGTGTGTGTGTATATATGTGTATGTGAGAGGTAGTGTGTGAGTGTGTGTTTGTGTGTGTGGATATGTGTGAGAGTGTGTGTATCTGATTGTCTGTGTGAGTCAGAGTGTGTGTGTGTGAGACAGATTGTGAGAGTGTGAGAGAGACAGTGTATGTGAAAGTATGTGTATCTGTGAGTGTGTGTGTGTCTATGAGTGTGTATGAAAGTGTAAGTGAATGTGTGTGTGTATATATATATGAGTGGGTATATGAGTGTATGTGAGTGAGTGTGCATATGTGTGTATGTGAGAGTGGTGTGTTAATGAATGAGTATCTGTGTGTGAGAGACTGTGCGTGTGTGTGTTTGTGTGCATAGGTGTGACAGAGTGTGTGTATGTATGTGTGCGTGTGGGGGGGTATGGATATGTGAGTGTCTGTACGTGATTGTTTAGCAATTGTTTAATATTTAGTAATGCCTAGATTTCAGGGCAGCAAGGTGACTCAATGGTTAGCACTGCTGCCTTGTGGCGCTAGGGACCTTGGGTGATGGTCTGTGTGGGTTTCCTGCTGGTGCTTCGGTTTCCTTCCACATCCAAAAACGTGCAGGTTAGGTGTAAAGGCCATGGTAGATTGTCCCATGAGCGTCCAGGGATGTGCTAGCTACGTGGCTTAACGATCGGAAATGCAAGGATACAGGGGTCTGGGTCTGGGTGAACTCTCTTTGGAGAGTTGGTGCAGACTCGATGGGCCGAATGGCTTCTGCCTGTGCTGTAGGGATTCTATGATTCCTATGAAGTGACCCGATACCCCACTGACTCAGAGTCATCTCTAGCCAACCAAAATGTGCGGGCTCCGTCAGAAGGCACTGAACATATTGAGACCTCGTTGGAAATGTGCAGGGATCACATAAACCACCAAACAACTCACTTCCCTCAGCCCTCAAGCACCACATTCCCCAAACGTGGCAGGGTCTTTGGTTTACAGTGGTTCAACTGTTCTGAGTTTGATTACATGAGGCCGGTGACTGATCCATGCCTTACTGTGCTTCATTGCTTAAAACTCAGTATGGACCTAGGGTAAAGTGAACAGGCAACGTTAAAGGAATGTATAAAACTCAGAAAATAAACATCGCTGCATCGTGTCTGTTCTTCATTACTTGGGGCAAATCAATTATAGAGTTATAGAGTTATAGAGTCATACAGCATGGAAACAGACCCTTCGGTCCAACCAGTCCATGCCGACCATAATCCCAAACCGAAAGGAGCAACAGTGACCATCTTGGAGTGCTGCTATTGCAGGATACTACGGGTTAATGGCAGCATTTAAAGATGTTTTTCTAAAAGATCTTCTTATTGTTTGTGAGTCAGTCTGGTCCTGATTTCTCTGATTAATTGATG